TCGGCCACTTTTGTATGACGACTTCAATCGATGTTTTGGCAGACGCAAATGGGCTCATGCAAATCCCGAGTTGTCTGATTCAGTTAGGATTTGCATTGTTTTCTGTGTAAAGTAGTCATCGATCCCTATGCCTACTGGTCAGCACTGGCACCGTGGACTGCTTCAACAACCTCCCTCGACGATATGTCTGCAAAAAGGTCACTGGCCCAAAACTTTAGTTGCAATGACGTATGTCTATGACCTCTGCAAGGGGTACTGTAGACAGAAGGTTCTGTCGTCATATTACCAAACGGGAAACTATGCGACGACCGATGATGTGGGCGATGGAGGAAAATATTCCAATTGCAGGCGATCTGTCATTCGAGATCTGCTAGCACAGGTAGTCATACTTGCTCTAGTATGCTACAAGACAAGGCAGCCATCAGTGGGACCAGTAAGACGTTGCGTGAACACATTTTAACATGTTAATCTCTCAGTGCATTTTCTTTGATTGACCGAAAGTTACGATGATCGTCATAATTTTCTATACCAGAAGAAACCGTAAATTTATGTAATTTTTCACGGTGACAGTCACGCCAGCCAAACGCCTACGGGCAAACGTTGTTTGCGAGCAAAAACCCTTTTCAAACGTTAGAAAAGCATAAATTTTGAGAATACACTTTTGCTTCAATCGAGTTAAAACCTTTCCTGTCCCTGAGGCGATTATTAAAATGGTTCATCATCACAATCAACATCTTGGACCAGGTCACGGTGCTCGTTAAAAACACTTTTCATTGCGATGAAGGCAAACACGATTCAACCTTGAACCAAATTTTGTGCACTTTTCGTCACTTTACTCGTGTTCTTCATGTAGAGCGCGAGACCGGGTGTTACCACATCCTTTGCACCCGTATCTCGGCGCAACTGCAAGGACAGTGCGACTAGCTTGTCATTGATTTCTGCTTCCAAAATTAATACATGTAATTTGCTTTCCTAAGCAACCATTATATAATTATTCTCGTCACTAATGAACAGGTACTGCCTGCTCCGTAAACTTTCAGAAGTTGTGAGCTATTGATTAGTTGCTTTGGTTAATTATGCAATCGTTAGATAACTATGTTCATATATTATCGCATTTCATGCAGCTCAAAAGTGAATGCATTGGACGGAAAACTGTTTTGGCGGAACCACATCGGGCACGCAAGTGTTCCTGAAATGTGATAGGGTGTGCAGAACACTTCTCACAGCGTTGTCTCTTGCAAACTCCATCGATTTAAGGCATAAAACGTCATCTGTTGATTCCTGGGAATTTAGGATGATCTTCTAGTTTTACTTCAAAGTGACGAGAAGTTGCAGCTGCGAAAATTGAGTCTTAATGCACAGAAAAATTATCATGTTCCTCCAATGACAAACAGTTTTGGAACAGTGCCATTTGCAAGCGATCGTCTCTAATGGAAGGTTTCATCAGTTCAGTTCCTGAGAATTCAAATGTTGATTTTTCGATTTAGGTTTGCAAGTTCGAAGTTAACTTTCGCTGTGACGAATTTCGTAGATAGGCGATAATTTAATGTTACTATTACAATAGAAATAATAAGACGCTTTTCAGCTTCAGTTAGGCCTTGGGTTTCATCATGTCCTTTGCATACATTCCTTAACAACAGATGGTAGTGAAGATGTCGTGGAAAGACACTTGGTTGCTCTCAATAATTTGGCTTGAAACATATACTGTTCACTACAGAACCTGAGGATCTTTTTCGTACGTTACTCAATGTGCATTTTATTGCTTACACTGAATCACCGCGAAGCAAACGTTGATTTGTACATAACTCACTGGTGAGATAATAACAAGTTGAGCATAATCGAAAAAATATCTCTGCAAAATCAGCGTTATAGTGAAATAATTAAAATGTATCGCATTAGAGGACTGTTAAGACACATGACTAACTACAACATATTAGGCAAATGGTTCTGCCTAACGACCTAATACCTTCCAGATCTTGAACAGTTCGAAAGAGCGATCGATGGAGTAGCCTTCTTCAGGAGGTTCCTTTTGAAATGCACACGTCTTCAGGACAGACTGTGGGAAAAATCGTCGTTCGATATGAAAGAAGCATTGCTAAGGCTGTTCATTCCGATCCTAATACCGTGGTTCGAACATTTCAACGAATAGGCCATTAAATGGAGGTCACACTATTTCCACTAGACCTGAGGATCACTTTCAAAACGTAAAAATGCAGTTCAAGGAATGGAAAGAAAACAACCAACCGTGCAGCGCGTGTGCAGACATGATCGAACGCATGTATGGACAAAGCGAATGACAGCCTCTTTTTCGGGCCATTGAAGTTCCGCAATATTTGATATAAAAGCCAGCCTAACAGGATATTAAATATTTCTCACTGATACACCAAGCAAGGTGGATAGATGGCGGGGGAAACGACGGTTGGTGGGGGGGTTAAGCACTTAGCTTGCTTTAAAGGCTGTATGCATGCTCGTCGGTGCTAAGAGCACGACTGGCCATATTATCACTGCCTGAGTTTTGGAATTTCGCATGACACGTATTCGTTCATGCTTACTGTATTGTTGGATGGCGAGGACAAACGAAAAATCAGCAGAACATGCCGAACATGAATAACTCAGCATTTTAAGCTATCAAAAGACTGAAATATACAGCGAAGAGAATTTGCTAGGCCAAAGATAATTTGTAGTTCAATCCAGTCAATGCACAAAAGTCATTTTCCATTCGAACCAACCAGTTAAACAACTTTCACAGTCGTCGCCGAATGCTGCACCGTTCAGTTGTCATTAGGTCGATGGTATGACTGATTCTTTTGCACTAATTGACTCTGCCTCATTTCGCTACCTGATGATGGATGAATCTGAAGCGTCATATACGACGCATGTAATTTAATTATTATTTCATTGCCAAAGAGAGTTTTCAGTGAGTGAGTCAATCAGCCAGTAAGTTTCTGTGCAAAATCGCCTGACTCTGGAGCAGAGTGTGCTGAGGCACTAACACCTGCTAGTTCCTGGCCGTTACCGGAGTCTAACCTTCGACTAGCCGGTTGATTAAATAGTAGCTGTTTCGAAGCAATGAACTTACTGTGTCATTCTGCAAAAGGTTTCATTAGTTATCCAAATTAAGGATTCGACATTTCTTTTTCAAAGATATGTGCCTTATGAGAATATTTCTATGTCATTTTTTGTCTTATGGTGTTGCTTTAATTAGTCATACGTTTGTCACAACGAGATACGTCATATTAACAGCAGAAGTGCTAAGTGCTTCTCTTACCATCGTCTGAAAAAATATATTTATAGTTGAGTCAGGGTATCTCCAAGAATAATCTCAATAACGCTCATTTGTGATTTCAGGTCTTTCAGCGGTTGTAAATAATTAATGTTTACACCGTGTGTTGCGGTCAACTCTAGGGGAGGAAGGGTCTGGATGAACTGCCATATTCATAACAT